GATTTTCTAGTCACCAGCGCATGGATGACTTTTTTGTTGTTGTTTTGAAACAGGGTTTCTCTGTGTAACAGCCCTGGCTGTTCTGGATCTCGCTTTGTAGACCAGGCAGGCCTCACAGAGATCTGCCTGCCTCTACCTCCTGAGGGCTAGGATTAAAGGAGTGCACCACCACACCCAGCTCATGGAATTTAAAATTCCAAGCAGATAGATGAAATCACAGAGGGGGAAAAAAAGGATGGGACTTGCCTGACTGAACAGAGGAGGAGTGGGGCCAGCAGCTGGTAGACACCAGAGCCTGGAAGCAAGAGGAAAAAGCCTTTCTAGGGAGAATGACAGCCGTCAAACTGCCGAGAAACAGGTAAGGGGAGTAGAGTGGCCACAGGACTTGGTAGCATAAAGTCACTGGAATCCACACAGAAGAACTTGGTGGGCCCGGCAGTGTTGGCACACGCCTTTAATCCCAGCACTTGGGCGGATCCCTGTGAGTTCGAGGCCAGCCTGGTCTACAAAGTGAGTTCTAGGAAAGGCACAAAACTACACAGAGAAACCCTGTCTCCAAAAACAAAACAAAACAAACAAAAAAAAAAAGAACTTGGGGGAGGGCAACACCAGGAACTGCCTCCCCTGTGCCCATCTCCCTTTTCTTTACAGAGGGGTCCCAGTTTGGCTCTTCCAGCTCCTAACCAGCTCCCCACTTCCTCCCCTCCCCCACCTCTTAATACTGTGGTACTAGGGATGGAAAAGCCTTGTGCACACTGGGTAAGCACTCTACCAAGTCCCTGCAGCTTCTTACCTGTGAAATGAAGATAGTAAATTCTGCTAGATTTTTCAGGAGACTGAAGCCTGTAAGGGGCCATGGCACAGCCTGTGGCTGCTCCTATAACCCAAATGCTATCTGTTGGAATGTTCTTTAGATATGTGGTGATCACCTTCCTGATTCTGTCATCGCTGCCACTCCCAGTGCAAGGGCCCAACACTAGCCTCTCTTCATCTCTCCATCATGATAGCATCACTTGCCTGATTAGAACCCTTCATGGGGGGCGTGGCTGGGGAGATGCTCAGCTGTTAAGAGCATCAGCTGCTCTCGTAGAGGACCTGTTTTCAGCCCCCACATGTAAGCTCACAGCTGTCTGTACCGCGGTTCTGGGAGATCTGAAACCACTTCACAGCCTCAGACACGTACACCGTGTATAGACATGTGCAGGCAAATATATTAAAAACATCAAACACACATATTAAAACAAACATCGCCGGGCGGTGGTGGCGCACGCCTTTAATCCCAGCACTCGGGAGGCAGAGCCAGGAGGATCTCTGTGAGTTCGAGACCAGCCTGGGCTACAGAGTGAGTTCTAGGACAGGTTCCAAAGCTACACAGAGAAACCCTGTCTTGAAAAACAAAAAACAAACAAACAAACATCAAAAACACTACCACCACCAGAAAAAAACAAACCAACCCTCACCCCAAGTCCCTATAGCTTTCTAGAGGTCTTAAGAGAAAAAAGCACCTTCCCCCACTTGGTTAAGGGACCACTCACTCTTTCCTCTTTTGGGTCACCAAGCATGCCTTGCCCCTTCTTGTTACAGGGCCTTTGCCCAGGCTGTGCCAGGGTGGTGACCAACCTTGACAAGAATACTTCGGGGGCGGGGGAGGGGCAGCCTCCTCCCTTAGCTACCACCTCAGGAGCTCTTAGCATCTACACAGGGGCACAGTCAAGTCAGGTCCCTGGCTGCTTCTGGGCCCCATTACTCTGTGTTCTTGCTCCAGAAAAGGCCCCTTCCCTAATGTCACTTTCTCTGAAGAACCATTTGATGCCCCATAAGCCTGCTGAGCCACACCTGAGGGCGGAATCAGTGAGGAAGAACTAAAGAAATCCGTGACCTCACTAAGCCTCAGTGTGCCTGGAGGGGGGACGATGGTGTCCTCTCCAGATGAAGGACCTGGAGCCCACAGGAAAAGCTCCAGAGCCTCTGCCTGCGGTGGGCCCCACGGCCCCAGGCAGCTTTACTATGCTGCACCCACCCGGGTGACTTTCTTCTTGGGATTTGTCTTCAGCAGGGCATGCTGGCCTCGGTTCACTTACCCAGAATTCAGGAAATAAAACACGGAGAGCGCCTCCGGCAGGGTCTCCGACAGCCTCTGGGCATAGTCCACGATGTTGTCGTGCAGGTATCGGCTGTTGGTGTTGAGCACCAGGTTCTGCTCATGTGCGGCCTGGACCACGACAGGGTGGCAGTGCCCGACTGCAAGAGGTCACCTCCATCACATGGGCGACCCCGCTCAGCCAGCCCCACCAGATCCCCCCTCAGCTCCATCTGCAGACCCCTCCAGGGGGGGTGAAGTTAATGAAGACAAGGTGGGAAGAGGGGCGTGGCCTGGGGGAGCAGAGATGATGTTCCGGAATGGAAGTTCTGGGAGAGATTCCAGCAGAAGGAAAAGATGGTCCTGCAGAAACACTATCTAGAAAAACCAATGTCTTTAGAGAGCTATCTGGAGACCTTCGGCTGGAGGGGAATGGTCAGAGGGTCAGGGGTAGGAACAGAGAGCAGAGTTAGTGAGCGCTTATCAAAGCAGTTTAACAGTATTAACACAGTTATCCAAAACACCTGAGTCAAGCTACGTGCATTGCTAGTTGAGTTTTGTCTATTGGCCAATGAACAACAAGGCTCTGAGGACTAAGTAACACCCCCCCACCCCACCCCCAGACAGGGTCTCTCTGTGAAGCCCTGATTGTCTTAAAACTTGCTATGCAGACCAGGCTGGCCTTGAACTCACAGAGATCCACCTGCCTCTGTTGCTTGAGTGCTGGCAGAGTCCTGGATTGTAACCTTTATCTTCTTCCAATGTGCCTTCTAACGCACAGCCTTCCTTTCCTCCTCAGCTCTGGTGGCCCCAGTTGGTTGAATTCAGTCTCCTATAGTCCCCCCACAACAGTCCATGGGGCTGAAGGCCTGCTGTCATGACCCTGCACAGGGCCAAGGTCATGCTACATTGGTGGGCATGACTGGCAGGCTACATGTCCAGCTTGCTGTGCGTTCCAAGTGGAACTTGGACCCTAACACCTGAACCACTAACTCCGGCCTGGTTTAGCCTTTTCAGGCTCCTTCACGAAGATTGGGGGACGCTCTGCCCACGGATGGTGTTCTGTTCAACCCAGGCTGCCAATCAGATGTACAGCCTCTGCCTCCTCTCCTGCCCCACCAAGGGCAAGGCGTCATACTGACCATGAGCCACGTTATTGATACAGTCCAGGAACTCTCGCCCTTGCTCATCGTACAGGTACTGCCCTTGGCCTCGGATAATCTTAACAGGATCTTCAGGAAAAAAGAGTCTGCAGGAAGAGCTGTGGGGAAGGCAAAGAACGACGGATAGCCTCGTCTAAAGACCGGAGTGAGCGGGAGACTACGCTGATCACAGCCTTCCTCACTCCTTCCCAGTTTCTGGAAAGGACAAAAGCTTGCCTCCTCATCCTATGAGGAGGGGCAGGACAGGGCAGAAAGTTGCGGAGACAAAATTGTTTAAGCCTCGGTGGCCCTCTCAATTTTCCTTGCACATAACATCAGTTCCTCTAGTCCTGGTGAAAGATGCTTTCGGGGAGCTGCTCGAAGAAATGCCCCATGCTAGGAGCAGGATCTTAGCCCGGATCTCAGGGGCCCTACTGCCCCTGGCTGGGGTGGGTGGCTAGCTCCAGCCACTGCCTCCTCTCCACGTGGAACCGAGGGTCCCTCTCACAGGCTAGGAGCAGACTTCCTCTAACCCTGCCTGTGACACGACTGCCCACCCCGGGCGAGGCCCAGCTCCTCTCGCAGGCAGCTGCCCGGGGCAAAGCCCGCACCCCGGGGCAGGGGACGTCCCGGAGCCGCGGGGTGGCCCACGGCCGCTTCTAAAAAGCTGAGAGAGGCGGGGAAGCCAGGGACTCGGGGCGGGCGCTGTGCGCGCCTCCCAAGCCCGCACCCGGTACCTGAGCAGCCGGCGCCTCAGGTCCAGAGTGGCCGCCTTGGCGCGCGAATCCGCGGCCATCTCGCCACGCTGCCAGGCAGGGCCCAGACACTGTGCGCTTGGCCCCGCCTCCGCCGCTACGTTAGCCCCGCCCCTGCCAGTACGTTAGCCCCGCCTCCGCCGGCTACGTTAGCCCCGCCTCCGCGTTAGCCCCGCCTCCGCCGGCTACGTTGGTTTTGGTCGGGGCTTCAATCCTGGCCCCGCTCCCGGGGGCGGCCTTCCTGGCATTCAATTATTTAAGCAACCCCCGAGCAAACTGGTTTGTGATTCACGCCGCCGCACGCGGATGCTCTGCGCTGGCTCAGGGTCGTACCTCGCCCTTCTCTCCCACCCCTGAGATTTCCCTCCCAGGAACGTGTCCCCAGGTCGCCCCGTTGAGCCGGACTCTGGACTGCGGCTGGGCACGGCCAAGCAGGTTGCCCTTTCTGCTCTTTAGAGCGTGACTTCCTGTGAGGGTAATGACTGGCACCTTGGAAGGACGCAGGCTTTCCCAGCCCGGTCACAGGAGAGCTCCGGGCCACGGTTGCGACAGCCCACGGAGATCACTAGATTCTTGCTGGGCCCAGGCATGGTGAGCTTGACATGTCGCTACAGGAAGAGAATCTTGCAGTGGGCAGATGGGAAGAGGGTTGGGAAACTTATGAGTTCTTCCTTACTTGCAGTCCAGGAAACAGGCCCAGAAAAGAAAGGGTTTTGCTCCCAGACACACAGTAGTAGGCCTGCTGCAGAGGCTGCATTAAATCAAGGCCTCCTGAATTCCTAGCACACTGACTGACAAGAGGCCTCTGCGGTCGGGGAGCTGGGAGAGCAGAGATACTCCCTGGAGGGTTGGGCGCTGGGCCGGACTACCTCGATGATCCCTGGACAAAGGCTTAGGCTGCCCTTCAGCAGGCTGCGGCAGTCTTGTCCACATGCCAGCCTTCTGCCCATTATCCAATAGCTCATTTCTTCTCTTCCCCACAAAACGGCAAAAATGCTCACAGCATGTATTAAAGAACTTATATTCTTTCATTTCTTGTTTTTATTGTGGTAAAATATACATAAAAAACCATTTTGAAGGGTACAATTCAGAGGCATGTGTACATTCTCACCCTGTCACCACCACCCAGCCACAGAGCTCTTCCATCTCCCCAGACTGAGTGGATTGCATGTTTTCAACCCTAAAACTATCCAAGAGTCCATCTTCCTCCCTGCCCCTGGCCCCAGGCTAAAGGTCCTCTGTCCATTTTCTGGCTTCTGACCTTCAGGACGACACCGGAGGCCAGGAGGGCACAGACTGAGAGGAGAGAAGGGGTGAGCAAGACTTGGAGGTAGAGGGGAGCATGGCGGAGCCTGTCATGCCAGCCCTGGGGAGGCTGAGGCAGTTAGAGACCAGTCGAGGCTATATACTGAGACCCTTTCTCAACAAGCAAGCAAACGTACCCTGCTCCCACCCCTTGACTCTAGGGCAGGGTTTTCTCAGCTGGCATTCTCTGGGAGCAGCTTTACCACTGGACAAGAGTGTCCAGGATTTCAGATGTATGCTAACCTTGACTCTGTCCACTGAATGCCAGGAGTGTCCCCCACTCCTGATACCTCAAAGCTTCCTTTAAGGATGGGAATCGAGTCAGTCAGCTTCTCTCAAGCCTCAGGTCCATCTGTCCAGGGGGACAGCCATCCTGGTGGTTCCTTTAGTTGCCATGGGGCACGGAACACTCAAGGACACAATAAACAGACTCCTCTCTTCCAGAATTGTGTGACTTACAGAGAACTGTCCCTCTTGCCAGGGAGACCCAAGGCCTCTCAGTCCTTGAGGCTTATTGGTGAGGCAGGGCATTCCCCAGTGTCTCATCTGGGACCTTGAACAAGTCATTCTCTCTGTCCTCACTCCAGGCTGGCATAGGACTCAGTGGCTTTGTATGTCCAATTGCAAGGATATAAGGTATGAGGCCACAAGGGGGCAGCAACGGGCCAAGAATGGTCCATTGCAGCCAGGCTGAGAAACTGGCTTTCCACCTCTACCAAGCTCTACTTGCGGTCCACCCATTGTCAAGGGGCTGCCCAGCAGATTCCATGCACAGCCAAACAATTCGGAAGATCAGTTAGGTGACTTCCAAGAGCATGGGTCCAATCCCAAGCCTATCACTCCAGCCTGGCTGTGCATTCCTGAGCAGATGACTACCCACTCTGAGCTTCAGATTTCCTGTATGTAAAATGGACATAGCGATGCCTACCACTGCAGTCCCTTTGCAGGACTGATGAGGAGGTCAAGTTCTTAGGTGGAGAGAGGAGTGCATTGCTAACTACAGTGTGTGGTGGGCTGGGAGGCTATTCTGCATCTCCAAAGCAGCCATGGGCACCAGTGAGCCACACTGGCCATTTTGGCCCACTACATCTGTCTTCTTTTTTTTATTTCTGGTTTCCCCAGTTGATTCCGTCAACTGGCAGAGAGCACGGTCTGCCCACTTATTGTCAGCTCCTCAGGGGGACAGAGGCAGGGACTTGACATAACCTGGGTGGGGCTGGGTCCCTTCTGCAAACTAAGGAATCTATGTGTATGGTCTGGTAAGTGTGCTGTTCTGTAGACCCCAGTCCTTGGAGGAAAGAGGCTGGAGAGAGTGTTAACACAGCCTCCTGCTTTTTGCTGAGTGCAGAGAAAGTGCTTTTGTCATCTGTGAAAATGGGCACGTTGGCTGGGCATCTCTCTTCAAGTTGTTGTAAGGACATACAGAGGGAAGACATGGACCCACTAGGCAGGACTCTGGTTACTACTAGGACTTGGAGAGGATACAGCGGGGACAGCCAGCACAGGTACTTTGGGGTGTCTGACCTGTTCTAGACTCCCTGTGTATTCCCCAAAGCTGAATATACCGAACCACATTTGAATTGTGAGCATTACTGTCTCAGGCTACAGATGAGTGGCAGGAGGCATTATTTAAGATGCTACAACAAAGGCTAAGAATGTAGCTTAGTTGGTAAAGTGCTTGCCTAGTATGCATAAAGCCTTAGGTTCGATTCCCAGCACTGTAAAAAAAAATGGGCATGGTGGTGCACAACTGTAATTCCAGCACTTGGAAGTAGAGACTGCAGGGTGGTGGTGGTGGTGGTGTCAGAAATTTAAGGTTATCTTCAGCTACATAGTGAGTTCAAGGCTAGCCTGGGCTACATGAAAAAGCTGGTTTTATTTTATTTTTGAAGGGCTATAACAAGATCTACTCTCCCACATCTTCTCATTTAAATATGACATTGACACTTTGCTCATTGAGAGGTGGGTCTGTCTTCTTCCCCTTCAATTGGGACGAACCTCTGACTCTGGCAGCAAGTGACAGTATATGACTTTGGAGGCTTCATCATAAAAGGCGACACAGCTCTCTAGGAATCCTGCTGCCATGCTGTGAGGAAGCCCAGGCCATTCCAACAGGTCATAGGTAGGCAGGTGTCAAGGCCATTGGGATCCTAGCTGGCAGGCACCAGTCACCAGATGAGGATGAGTCCGAGAGAGACCCACCCAGCTGGTCCTCTGAATCCTTAGAACTGAGAGAATGAATATTCTGAGGCAACAAGTTTAGAGTGTCCTTGCTTAGTAAGCATAGCAGAAGGGCATACAGGGACTTTGTGACATGTGACTGGTCCCAGGATTCTGCTGACATGTGTGGGTCCAGGCCTTGAGGCTATACCCTCCTATCTCCTAACCCTGAACTATATCCTCTGGATTCTGGGATGGCTCTGCCCCCAGGGAGGAACCATCAGGATGAACTCAGCTGGAGGTGACCAGGGAAATCTGCAACACAGGCACACCCAGACACACGTGTGTGGTTTATTCCTCACGGCACCTTTACGCGGAGAGGGATGTGAGGCCGTGGCTGGAGCGGGGTAGCTAGGAACCTTTGTTAGAGGTGTTGGAGCCCCTTCTCAGGGGACAGGGGTTTCTGTCACAGGCGGTTTGCTCAGGCTTGCAGGGGCCAGCCTTTGGGTTCACGATGTCTGTACCACCTACGAGGAGGCTGGTTTCTGCCAGGCTTCTGACCAGAGTTCTAGGTGGGAGACTTGGGGTCAGGGAGACCCAAGTTCTGAGCAGGAGGCATGTCTCCTCAGGGCTGACAAAGCCTCCTTCTGTTCCTGCTCTGGGTGAGGTGATACGGAGACCGGAAGTAGCAACTAATGCATCTGGGTCTCTTTACCCTGCAGTCAGGGGTCACTGAGCTGCCTGCAGCTGGTTCCACACTGAGGTATTCACAGAGCCCGCCATTTCCCGAGGCCGGAGGATACAAGCTCCGATGACAGGGTGGCTTGCTGAACTTGGGTAGAGCGAGGCCCTGTTGGGCTCCTTTCCATCACCTTCTTCCCTAGTGCTGGATTCTAGGGATCTTCGCCTGCCCCGTTGAACACAGGGTCCCAATGCAGCTGCCCGTGGCCGGGTCCAGAGGCAAGAAGGCACAGCAGTCGTCCAAGGGGGTCTTTTGGACAGTGAGAAGTCGGGGCAGTGGGGCTTCAGGGGACAGTGGTGTGTCTCTGCTAATCAGGTGATTGCAGGCCCAACCCGGAGTCTGTCCAGCCTCACCTGAGCCAAACGTTTTCACCTTCGTCAGCTTCTCTAGGGAAGCCAGGCCCTGCCGGGGGGGCCCCTTTAGGCACGAGTTTCCCCAGAGCGGCCTGTCTGTCCTCTTTCCTGCTGGCTTCCTGTGCAGGTTGTCCGGGGGCTGGTTGGCACACTCTCAAATGTTACAAGGCCACCGTTGGCACATCCCATAAAGAAGATCAATATATTACTGTTTTGCTTTTACACAAGTTAAAAACATCCAAACGGATCTGTACAGGTTGGGAGCCATGTCTGAGGATCACTGGAAAAGGAGGGAGAGATGGAAGGTGATGAAGAGGCCTGGAGAGGTCCTTGTCACCCTCACCAGCAACCTCTACCCTGATGATTTCTTCAGGAACAAGTGTAGCCCACTTTCAGTGGGGCAGCTGGGATAAGTCCCAGGAGGATCCCCAATGGTTTTGAATTGGTAGGGCTGGATGCCAACCAAAACCCAGGTGACAAGCAAGGCAGATGACACATGTCAGCCAGGACCAAGCTCCAAGCCTGGGCCATGTGACCACAAAGTCACAAACATCGTTGGAAAACCTGACTGTTCAGTCACTGTGTACTGAGACTCAAACCTCTGTATGATGGTATCTGGTCCCCATGGGTCCTCTCTCTCCCTCTAACTCTCCCATCCCAACTCCTTCAGGCCCACCCTTGAGACCCTTTCCTGAAAGGTACCTTATGCCAGCAGCCAGGCACGGGCAGCCCGTCAGGGCCCTGGAAAAAAAAGGAGGTTTAAGTGACAGAGCAGGAGGTTGATGGCCTGCAAATACCTCCCCACCCTTCCTGGGACTTTAGGGAGACGGAGCCAGGGAGTTGCTACTTGAAGCCACTGGACTCCATTGAAGCAGGGTTTGCCCATCTGAGGACATAATGTCCCCTCATTGCACTTGTCCTGTCCCTCTCATGGGGCTTTGTGGGAAGCAATGGGACTCTTTGATGTAATGGGCATTGTGCTAGACATTTGCCAGCCAGCGGAGGGTGTGATCCTCTGAAAAGGGTGGCATGGCTTCCCGCCTGTTGGAGTGCCATCCTGGGGCCCTGAAAGCTTCCAGGCTTTGGGCAGGAATGCCTCCAAGAGGGTGACAGTGCAGGAGGTGACGTCTCTCCAGCCCTTCCCGGCCACTGTGATTGGATCTGGGAGGCAGACAAGTGTCATCAGGATGAACCCTGGGCATCGGAGATGGGGTTGTCTGGGAACTTCAACCATGTCCACCCAGCCATCAGACATGAGCATGGATGGGCTTCCTCAGGTAGCCTGGAGGGCTGGAGAGCTGGAGGTGAACAAAATGTCAAGTCCCCGGGGGACCCTGAAGCAGAAACATTCCACTCTGTTCCAAAGCACGGGTATAGGGAAAACACATGGGAAAACACATGGGACACACTCCTTGAGCCCCTTCCAAGTACATGCTGGGGTTCAGGTGGGGGACCAGAGGGGGAGGAGAGGAGAAGAGGGGTAGAATGCACCAGAAGGCAGAAATGAGGAAGAGAGGGGGCAGAGCCAGCAGACCAAAGCATCCCGGAAGGCACAGCATCGCACACACAGCACACAGCAGTCAGACTGCGTACCACAGGGCAGGGCCCGATGCCCTTCACAAGGCCCCGGGAGCCGGTGCCCCTCGCTTGCCTCCACATCGAGGATGCTCCTGTGTTAAAGACAAAGGCTCGCTCACGTGGAAGAAGTCTGTCCAGGCTCTGGGGAAACAGGGCTGGGTTCTCCCGTCTCAGCTGTCTTTTTGTGTTTGTGTGTATGTCTGTGTGGGTCTGTATGTCTGTGTCTATATGCATGCACTTGGGTGCACATGAGTGTGGAGGTCAGGTCCTCAGGCACCTTCTTTTGTTTGAGACAAGGTATCCATTGGCCTGGAACTCTGCCAAGCAGGCTGGGCTAGCTGGCTAGTGGGCTCCGGAGATTTGCCTGTCTCCACCTTGCCAGCACATATCACCATGTCTAACTTCCCATGTGAGTTCTGGGGAACTGAACTCAGGTTCTCACACTTGCAAAGTGATTGACTATTTGAGCCATGTGCTCAAGCTCTGGCTGGCTGTTTTTTGAGACAGAGTCTCACGATGTAGCAGAGGCCTCCAACTTTCCATCCTCCTGCCTCAAGCTCCTGAGTGCTGGGATGGAAGTCTTTATTTTCTCTCCCTAATATCTCAGACCCACCAGGAGGAGGGGAAGGTACAGAGAGCTGGAGGAACTCACTGGAGGCCAGAGGACCGAGTTTGAGCCTGGGTCAGTTTGCACACTCCCCAAACCCTGGCAAGAGTGCCTGGGAGTGAGCATCTGGCCGTCTCAGTGTGGAGACCCAGCTATTTCATTTTCCTGTCCTTTTTGAGGACCACTTATAGACCCTGACATGTAAACCCTCCAGCTTTCTACAAAACAGGAACTGAACTGTGGGAGTTTCACTACCAGGCCTGGTGGGTTATCAAGAGCTTTTGCCATCAGGAAATGAGACAGATATGTGGGGAGGAGGGAAGGAAGGGTGTGTTTATGGAAGGGCCTGGGGAAGAGGCTAGACCAAGCGGCAGGGAAAAAAAAAGATACCGGAAGGAAAGATGCCGCAGGAGAATGAGAGGCCTGGGAAAGGTAGGGTGGTGCGACTTTCCCAGTGACTGAAGAAATCTCAGGCTAGCCTGGTCTCAAGTCCGTAGGAAGTCAGATCCCAGCGAGGTCTTAGGCAGCCATGGCCAGGGTGGGGAAGGGGGGGCTGGTCACTCACTGACTTTGTGACCTACACACACACACACACACACACACACACACACCAAGTCTGTGTGTCTGCTGGGCTTCCCTCTCCAACCCCTAGCCCCATCCCAGGGCACCCCCAAATTTCCGATGACTCTGGAAAAAGCCAGCTCTGTTCCTGTCCTGGTTCCTCTCCACCTCTACCCAAGGTTAGCCTGAGATGGGTCCCCGCTCCAGTCAGCTCTGCCTGGAGGCTGGATACATAGAAGCAACCCGGGGTGGCAAACACTTGCTGGCATCTTTCAGCCACGCTGGTGGGGGGATCGGGTCCACAGCTGGGGGAGCTGTGGTGCTGGCAATGGCACTATGGCTGTTTGGAGCTCCATCCCGCTGAGACACCTACCACGGGGCAGGGCTGGTCAAGGCCTGGGGGGCCCGGCTCTCCCTTTTGACCTTTCACTCCTTTCCGGCCAGGAACCCCTCGCTCCCCCTGCGCAAGAAGGAGACGGTTGGGTAGCCGTTGTGACCCCCCCCCCCCCCCCAGTGACATGCCCCAGGACCCAGCAGCCACCAGGCCCAGCTTTCGGTCCAGCCTCCCCCTCCCTTCCTGCTTGCCCCATCTCCCTCCTCCCTCGCCCTCACCTTCTCTCCACGTTCACTCCGGTCGCCCTTTTCTCCCCTGGGTCCAGGGAAGCCCTGGCAGATGAAAAGGGAAGCCTGAAATGAGGGCCGAGCCTGCTTCTCTGTGACATGACACCTCCGCTCCTCGGTCACCTATCACCCTCCCTCGCCCACACCTAACTGTGGCACCAACTGCCAGGCTCTGACTGTTAGCCTGTGTGCGTGCTGGGTACCAGGTAGGCGCAGGAAAAGAGTACATTCAGGACCCCAGCTCTGTCCCTGGCTGGAAATCCAGTGGAGCCCAGGCTGCGGGCTGGATGCTGGGACGGAAATGGACTTGGCCTGTTTCCTCCCTTATGTCTTCTGGGGCAGGCTATGGGGGGCAGAGGAGGATCTTGCTCAGGCACAGATGTAGGAGACAGATGTGGCAGGGCCATAGGGGACAGGCTGTTCGGATAAGGGATGGGGACTACAGGACGTTGCTGAGGAAGTCACCGTCGAGCTGGGTGGAAGAAGGCTGGGGCTTGCTAGACAGAGAAAGCTCTTAGATACCACAAGGCCTCCCGGGAGGCAGCTGAGGCTACCCCACAGCGGCACAGAGTCTCTTGAGCTTCACCCCATTAGCCTCCCTGGGTCCAGAGCCTGAATGGGGTTCAGCATGGTTACTTTCCAACTGTGTCTCATCAAGGGAAGGTGACCCTCCCAGTCAGGAGCCTGGCTGGTCCCTCTCTTCCCGGCCCATGTGTGCTTACCATGGCAACAACACTCTCTCCTCACAGTCTAGGGCATAGCCCAGAGGCCTGGCAGCTCTACATCAGTCCCATTTCCCTCCCCAGCTACACGACCTTCCCATCTTGCTGACCACTCCAGCTCCAGGTGACAGGGGATCAAGCCGGGCCAGAGAGCAAGCTGCATTCCTATAACCCAAGGATGGCTAGGGTTGATTAGAGAGCCAAAGAGATTTGCCCTGCACCAGTAGAGGGAGGCAAATCTTCCTACTCATTTGGGTCCAGGAGGATACTTGTTTGGAGGGACTGGCTGAACCAGCGTTCTGGTGATTCCCACAGTGGGAAGGCAAAGACCAGAGAGGGAGAAGGCTGGGGGGGGGGGGTGTTGACATGGCTGTGCCCTGTGTTAAATCCCTAGACTTTTCCGTTGTGAGTCATTTGAAGCAGTCTGAACTATTTTTTGTTTTTGCTGTGTTACCAAAGGCGGCCTGACGCAATCAACGTCAAGCTAATGCTTCCCTTTGTCTCTTCACAATACAGCCTTAACCAAGGTCTCATTACTGGTCATCAGTACACTGCAACAGCCTCCTTACTTCTCGTCTCACCTCCCTTTTACAGTCATCCATCCATCCACCCATCCATCCATCCATCCACCCATCCATCCATCCATCCATCCATCTACCCACCCACCCACCCACCCATCCATCCATCCATCCATCCATCCATCCATCCATCCATCCAATCATCCCTCAGCTATCATTCCTGTCCATTAATCCATTTTCACCCATCCATTCACCATCCATCCATTAATCCATTCTCCACCATCTTTTCATCATTCTTCCTTCAGCCACTACCCATCCATCTAACCCCTTTATCCATCATCCATTGTCCATCTGTCTGTGTCTATCCATCCTCTACCATCTGTCAGCCCATTAGCTCATCCATCCACCCTCTACTCATCCATCAAGTTTGTCCATTTTCCACTGTCCCTTTGCTGTCAATCTATCATCCATAGGTTGTACTCCAGGTATGTCCATAGTGACATCTCCAGAGTACTCCAGGGGATGCCACTGGACTTTGCGCTGAGGACATAGGGAAGCCAGTCAGCAGCAGCCCTCAGGGATGGACCACACTTGAGCTAACCAGATTGCTATGTGCGTGGGTAACACCAGAGCAGAAGACGTCTACAAGAGGGCCCAGTCACTCACAGTGAATCATAGGAAACTTACATCGAGTCCTGGCTCTCCAGGTCTGCCCTGAGGAGAGATACAGAGGGTGTGTGAGGGGGTGGAGATGAGATATTATGTACTCAGATGTTGGGGAGTTCAGCCCAGCGGCTGGCAACAGACAAGAGGCAGGGCAGGGTGGTATCACAGAGACATAGTAATTGGTCCTGTGGGGTCCAGGGACGCAGCAGGATGCAGAGGATGAGCCCCCCAAACTGATGACATGATGGGTATGTTGGACACGATGACATGATGTGGTCACAGTAGGCAGGGGCCTCAAGGTAAGGCAGTTACCTTCTCTCCTTTGGTTCCTGGCAGCCCAATAAGGCCCGGTGGGCCAACTGGTCCCTGGGTGGAAAAGGAGAGGGTCAGCTGGCATGGTGGGCATAGGACGCAACACCTCTAGGGAAAACAAAGCTCATGACACTCACAGGCAGGCCGTGAGGGCCTCTCTCGCCCGATGCACCTTTGTCTCCCTTGGCTCCATCCAGGCCCTGGAAGTGAAAAGGAAAACCAGTCAGGAGAGGGGATGGGACAGGCAGGACAAGGAAGTGTGGGTCTGTGTGGGGACTGAAGTGTCCATGACAGGTGGAAGCGAGACAGATGCCAGGCTGTCAGGCCTGGTCCCAGCTTGCTCCATGATAGAGTGAGTCACATGTGTGTACATTTTCCCTTCTTCCACACACAGTGCCCCCGTGATGGTGACCATATACCACAGAAGCAGTTTGGCTGGCCACCACCAGCTTTCTGAAGCCCAGACTTGAACCAGGACCCTCAGCGGATATCTCTTCAAACAATGGTGTGTTGAAGCTTGGGACAAAATAAGATCAGAAACAATGCTTGGTCGCCACACCAGGTCAGGGTTCTGTGACTCCGAGTCCTCCCCAGGGCTTCTGAGCTGGGGAGGGAGAGATTAGATCCTGTATGACAAGAGGTGAGACCAGCTAGTCTTTCACCCTGTGTTTGCCTCTCTTGGGGCTGGCACATGGCGCAATACACTTGAGGTTTTGAGAATATGACATGATGAAATGCATACCAAAGCCAAGACTTCAAGTTCAGGCGGTGGACCGTCAAGATGCAGATGTGTATGGGCAAGAACTGGGGAGGGGGCACGGAAGGGGGAGCAGAGGAAGGTGGCAATGGGCAGTGGGTGGAAATGGGAAAGGAGGCTGATGTAGTGGGAGATGGGCTGGAAGATGGATAGAGTTGGGGTGCCTAGGCAGAGGGAGAAGGAAAGGGCAGAGCCCCAAACGTGGGACGGAGCTGCTCTGGGGCCATTGTTAGGGCACTGGCAATGTACCAGCTGAGCAGGGGCCTCACTCCGTCCATTAATAAAACTTTCTGAATGAACAGGGTGTGTCTGCACTCACCTTGGGACCCTGGATCCCCTGGAGGCCCTGGAGGAAGAAAGCAGATCAGTAGGGCTGTGTGACTGAGTGGAAACTTTTGAGGCAAGACCCTCTTGAATCAGGCTAGTCACTGGCTCCTGAGGCCCGCCCGAGGCTCTGGTGTGTCCCACTGATGTGCCCTGCTCCCCCCAGAGAGAAGCCTTTCCTACCCTGGGCCACCCCCACCCCAGATCCCAGGTTCACTAACCACTCAGTATCCCAGCTGCTTTAGGTTAAAATGTCCTTACCATGGGGCCAGGGGGGCCAGGAGGACCTGGGGGTCCTGGCTCCACTATGATCTGGGCCTAGGAAGGGTTAGAAATGGGTTAGTTACCCTATGCCTGTTACCTCTCATCTGTTCACCCTCTGGAGCTCCCCACATTCTTGCAAGCACTCCTGGGTGCCACACGCTGAACCCTTGGGCAAGGCTCCTTCCTGCCCCCAGAAGGGTGCAGCTCAGTGAGGGACCCTCAGTCTTTCGGGTCTCAACTGGAAGTGGGGTGGAGGGCAGTCTGAGGCTCCAACACTCCCCCTTTCCCACTGTCCTGTGTTGCGTCAGGTAAAGTGGCCTCTCTGTAACCAAGGCTCAGGGACCCTACAAGGTTTGGGTTCAGTGTGGGGGACCCCCCCCCAGTCTCAGTTACCCCTTACCAGGCTCTCTTGTAGGTGGTCAGATGCTGACTCTCCTTTCTCTCCCTTGGGACCATCAGCACCCTAGGGCAGAGTGGCTTGTGAGCTCTTGTTCATCCTGAGGTCACCTCCCTCCCACTGGGCTCCGTTGCCACCCCCCCTCCACTCCCCCACCCCCCCCACCATGGCAGTGATGAATTGGCCTCTTTCGTTTTTAATCAGTTTTCCCCAAATCACATGCCCTGCGAAGGGAGCAGAGTAGTATGTCAATGGCACAGACTGTGTCTCGAGGTGCAGAGGCTGAGTCATCTTCAGGAATACACAGGAAGGGCTGTGAGGCAACATGGCTTTTCTTTTTCTGTTTTTTCTGTTTTTTTGTTTTTTTTTTTTTTTGGTTTTTCAAGACAGGGGGTCTCTGTGTAGCTTTGGAGCCTGTCCTGGAACTCACTCTGTAGCCCAGGCTGGCCTTGAGCTCACAGAGATCTGCCTGGCTCTGCCTCCTGAGTGCTGGGATTAAAGGCCTGCGCCACCACCTGGCACAAAGGTAGCTTTTCTAATGAGGCCCCAGGAGCAATAGAAATGCTAATGAATCGGGGTGTTTCCTGCCAGCTGCTAGTTGGTCCTCTCCAGTTCATGCTGTCACTAGGACTGGAAGCTTGTTACTCATGTTAGTGGTGAGGAAACCCAGACCATGGGAGATTCCATCGCTGTGCTGGGCTCCAGGGCTGAGAGGTGGGACAGCCTGGGCCACTTAACCTAAGTGAGGTGGATTCTGCCAGGCTGGGCCTCCCTACCTCACCTGCAGGGTTCCTGTGGGGGTGTGGAAGTCCTTCTGTAGCTGAGGTGGTATAGGCTGCAGGGCATTCGTGTGAGGACGCCCCCACACTGCCAACATCAGCAAGTCCCCAGGGTGGGGCCCAGTCCAGCCACCTACCGGAAGGCCTGACAGGCCCATCTCTCCTGTTTCCCCTTTGGGCCCAGCTGGCCCAGGCTCTCCTGGGTCTCCTTTTGGTCCTTTGGGACCCTAAAAGTCACCAGAAAAAGGAATCAGTGGGGATTGATGGGCACTCTCCTTTCTCCTGACCCTTGTGGGCCCTTCAGCTTAACAGGCTTGACCATATACCACACCTGGTTTTTTAATTTGTTCATCCATCCACCCACCCACCC